AAAACCTTCTCACCTCAAGCATCACTTTATTTCGCCCGTTCATCAAATACGACGATAGGGCATGTTGATTGGCGACTGTTCGACCCGGCGAGGCTCACTCTTGACGAATGCGATGTAAAGGGGAACTAAAAACCATTATTTTAATATTATAAAATAGAGTCGAAATAATTCCAGATCGAGTCGTGGAACTAGTCTAAATCTAAATCATTAAGGGATAAAGCGTCGATATTTTTTTCCTAAAACTCGCTCAACCCCTTAGGATTCTCCATAGCATTTCACCAAAATGTGGACCCAAACACTGAAAAGAAAATGGCAAAAGAACGACTGACGGGCGATGGGAAAGGAGGGGCCGGCCGTGTCTCTTTTCTTTCTCGCGACGAGTCCTGTAGCCCGGTTAGCCTAGTCGGTAGAGCAATTGGTGACTTTAATCTGGCTGTCGCGGGTTCGAGCCCCGCATCGGGCTGATGCTTTTGGCCTTTAAAAATTTTATCAAGGTTGCCTTGTTTTTAACATTAATCATTGATTGACTGATCACTAAATTAGAACTTCCTAGATTTCCTTTAAAAATTTCTTTAAGTACTAACCAATCCCATCTAGTTTCTCGGATCTGGTGTTGCCCATTGTAGTTTTATTATTGTCGAATAGACTCCCTGTTGATCACCAATGGCTCGATGGTTCTAAAAATTGATTGATAAATAAAAGAAAGATTAAATCTAGACCAAGTAATTTGTGTTTTTGTAGCTCTCAAGGACGATTTTCGGATGGAAAAAGTTCGACATCATAGTTGACCGATTGTCCGGTAATGCTTTCTTCCTGAATTAACCAAGAATTTTGATTTTAAACAAAAATTTTGAATAATGATTAACATTATCCAAAAACTATACAGAGCATCATCAAGTACACACCTTCATCGGTATTCCGGTGATTGTCGTCGAGACAAGATTGTACAAATCAAGAGTGACAGCATGAACGACCATTTGAATAGCTTCCCCAGTGTCTACAGTGGAAAGGAGTTGAATCTTCACCAATTCGGTATCGTCCGCCTAGAATAAGGAAAGTTTTTAATAATGAAACGCGTTAGACTTGCAACCGCTATCAACTTGAAATCTTAATCAATTTACTCAAAGCAACTCTTCATAAAAAAATTTTGAACTTTTTAAGTCAGCGAAAAAGGAACACCCCTAACCGAGCCTTTGGTTCATTCCAAAGAACGGGAATTCGCGACTCGTCGCAAATCTTTTCCTCCCTTTTCGCTGCCTCCTCCCTCACATGGGGGTATAGCTCAGTGGTAGAGCGCTCGCTTAGCATGCGAGAGGTCTGGGGTTCAATTCCCCATACCTCCATAAATCTTTTGCTTTTCGGGAATTTTTGAGTTGTGTTCGAGAAGAATGTGCTTTTCCAGTGGATCAGTTAGCTTTTTTTCTTTTTAAGTCAAAATTTAAGCAAATGTCCTTAGATCTTGTAGCTTCGAATGACCTTGAAATCAGATAACCTTGAAAATTTTGGTTTTTTTCTCTTTTCAAGTGTACAAAACTTGTGTTTCTTTCAGAAATTACTTAGATATGCCAGCTTTTTCCTTTTTAAGTCAAAATTTAAGCAAAAGTTTAAAAAAAACATCCGAATTTCCCAATAGAAAAGTCCCTTTTCCAAAGCGAAAAGAGCCAACAACGAAAGAGAGGGCGTGGCCAAACGCCGTCGAAAAGAAAAGGCTCCCCGTCGCACACTCTCCCATCCAGCCATAGCTCAGTTGGTAGAGCGGAGGACTGTAGAGAGGAGCAGCTATCCTTAGGTCACTGGTTCGAATCCGGTTGGCTGGAGTCTTTTTGCATTTTTAGATAATGGCCTGGGTAAAATGATGCAAAGGGAAAAAACACCCCTTTACATTATTTTACAACATTTTCAAGCAAAATTTTCACCGATTGCATTGATTTGTTTTGAAGTGGATTGGCAAGATTTCCCGAGTAAACGTTGATGATATAGCAGCGAAGATCCTCGATTGGAGAAAAACTGAATAAAGTAAATTTTAAAAGAAAATCTGTGTCACAGACTTGTCATCACCCAAATTCTTAACAATCAAGTTACGACCCTTCACAATCTCCACAATGTCCGCCTCGAGACTTTTCAGCTCTTCTTCACTAAAAAGGATTTTAATGTAACAGTATAAGTAAAAATTGTATACCTTTTCAATGAAGTCATTAGAACGATTGCGCCTCGATTTGGAATGAATGTTTGAAGAAATTGGTCTCTAAAAACATAAAAAAGTTAAGCGTTCATTACATTGTTACCTCTTTTGCTTGTTTGCTTCCAAATTTCCACCTCTCATCGGGATCGGAACTCGTGGGCGCTTGCCTAAAAAGGAGAGTTCGTTCTACATTACATTACTGTTCTTCATTTTTGCTAATGATACGTCTATTTGATTCTTGCTTTGATGCTTTTTGTTTTCATTCTCAAAATTTCGTCAGTGTTTCCCGCAAAGTCAGATCAAGGGGTCACCCAAAAAAGAAGGAAAGAGGGACTGTTTCGAAGTTTGTACTTCTCTCGTCGAATTCTCTCCAAAACCATATCTTTTTGCCTCTTTTTTCCATTCAATTTTCCCAATTGGCATTCGTCGTAATCTTTTCCTTGAGCGAACATCTGTCCCGAAGGTACTTCCAGAATTATTTTCGCTGATTCTTGGTCAAATTTGGAGCTAACATTTTACTAATCAGCTGCCTTACTAACAGCTAACAATTCAAAGGTTTACATTAAAAGCAAGAAAATCACCTGATTTCTTGCAGATTTTTCATGAAAAATGAGCCGTCTACAAATAATTCTATCAAATTTAACCATGGAGATTCCACTATTATTGTACATGGTATCCTCATTTCTCAAGTTTCCCGTTTTTCAAAATTTGATTTACGAAAAAGTTTGTCTCAATTTGTACGATGTAAGTCGTTTTTCATTAACAAAACCATCTTTCTTAAGGATCATCGCCTTTGCACAAATGTCACCGCTTACTATGAGGATAAAAATATCCACGAAAAGGCGAATCACATTTATTTTCTCTCTTCAGTGTCTCTGCTTTCACCATCAATAATTATGACCTTATTCTTGGGTGCAGGTAGGTGAAAACTTCGTAAGTTTAATAATTTTGTTCAGCCTGTGATATTGGGAGCACAAAAATCCCACTAATCATCCCATTTGTTGGGTTAATTCTATCATCCGTTTTTTACATCATTCAAGCAACTTACATGGAATGGAATGTTTATCTTTTACTGATCAGTGATGCCATATTTGGTTGCTGTGGAGGTTATATTGGAGTCATTGGTAAGTGGGAATTATTGACTAAAATACAGGCAGCAAGTTTGAAAGCTAATCAAATAATCAATTCCACCAACCATGCATAACTTTAGGTACTACCATGGCTTACAGTGTGAAAGCAACAAATCCCCAGTATCGAAGCATCCGAATCGCTCTAATGGAGGGATCAATCGGACTCGGTGGAACAGTCGGCTTCGCCTTATCTGGCACTTTAAGAAGGTAAGCGGCCAAAAGCTTCTCATCTAAACCACTCGAAATCTAGCTTTGTTATTCAGCTCAATCGGATATACGTGGAGTTTCTTAATTCAAATGATCTGCCAAGTGCTTGCGTTTCTCTATATCATCACTTTCGCAAAAGAGTTGAATGAAACTCGGAATGAAGAAGAGATTAATGAGCAAGAAATCGGTGCGATACTTGACAAGGAGATTAATGTTAATTGAGTCTATCTAGGAAAGTTCACCAAATTTATCGCACGAATCGTCGAAATTCTTTACGAATTCTACGCGTTGCTTATCCGAAGACGAGAATTCCAATTGCTGTTGTGGTTATGTTTGGGAGCACTGGGATTAGAGCTTTTGATATTCGCCGGTTTGATGGACATTCAATACTCATTTCTTCGTTACAAACTTGGATGGGGAGATAAAGAATATGGGTGGTTTTAGCGGTTTATCCTATGGAACGACGACTGCAGCTGTAAGTACAAGAATAGAAATGAAAACTTGTTTCAGGTCATGATAATCTATCCACATTTAAAACTAAAAGGATGGACGGATAGCCTGTTGGGAAGTCTTGGAATTTTCTTGAAGGTACTTAAACTTATAAAAGGAGTAAAGAACTGTAAAACAAATCAAGAATTTAGACGATATCATTATGCGTTTTTGCCTTCATATCCACTCCATGGATGGCCTACACAGTTACGGTGCTAACAATTGGCAATCGTTTTGTTTCCACCGGTTTCCGTGCATTCATCAGTAATCTTGTAGAGGAAAATGAGCAAGGTAAAGAAATCGAGGAATTTGGGGCCAACCTATCCAGGAGATTCATCAAAAATTCTCTTTCAGGCAAAGTCTTTTCATTGATCGTTTTTCTTGAAGGAGTTACAAGTTTGGCAGCCACAACGATCTACAACAATCTCTATCCAAAAACATTGCCGATCTTCCCGGGAATGATGATTCTTATATCAGCCGGTCTACTGTTGCCATGTTTATGCACTTTAATGTAAGTTAGATGAAATTAAACCGATCAGCGCCAACTTTCAGGTACGGTCACGTAGTAGTACAAAAGTCAATGACCCGGTTCGAGAACGAAGCCTCTGAAACACCTACCAACAGTACACAATGATAGTGTGTAGTTGAAAAATGATAAATTATTTGATTACTGTATCTTCGTCTTTGTGCTACTGTTTATTTTTCAAACAAACCTTGTCCCGGTCGATTCCCCATTTTCTGAGCTGTATCGATCGCTTTCCTGTAGGCATTCGTCTTCTGTGAGAGGGCATCCACAGCCATTCGGACACCTTAAAATGGTGATATAAAAATAAACTTCAAATTGATCTAAGGCGCATGAGCTTTAAAAACTATGTAAGAGCTCTTAGACTTGAATTTTGCCCATAAGTTACACTATAGTTACTAGTAAAAACAAATACCATTGAGTATCGACGAATCTTCACTTGTCAACGGTTTGCCGGCCGATTTGATGCTCTCATGCAACTAAAAAAAACTGAATTCAAATTTCAAACAAAAACAAACCTCATTTCTTGAGATCAAACTATCGCCCCATTGTTTCATTACATCCGACGTGTCACTCGTTAGGAAGCGGCCCACACAATCCGATAAAACGAAGCGCATCAATTTGTTCTAAGGCAGTAAAAGCTACTTATTAAAATCATTTGCTTATTGAGAAGCTATTCACTAAATATTATATTTTTATACTCTGCAAAACATCAACTTACATTGTTCGGGAAAACATCGCTAACAATACGATGCATCTCGAGGGCACATTCAACGGCTAGCGACCACACACTTTTCTCGATGGTCGCAACCTAAATAAAATTTTAGATGACAAAAAAGATGTTCTTTTCTTGCTTTTCAGTTCACATACACATTTTGAATGTATCCACCAATAACACTTACAAATTTCTGCTTGTTCCCGGCGAGCTCCTTCACGTGAATGGGCAGCTTCTAAATAAAATCAAATAAAAGAATTTAAGTATGCTTTTATTGGTATTTTAAGGGTTGAGTAACAGTATAAAGCTCAAAAATACTTACTTCAGAGGCGCCGATTCCAAATCGTGGTCCATGATCAAGCACGACGACCACTTTATGGTCAGCTCCGAGTGGTTTCGGCTTTCCAACAAACGATTTTCCCATCCAAAAGAAAAAAAAAGTGTTAAGTTCTGTTAAACGAGACGACCGAGCGTGAAAACTCGAAATGTAAAAACGGTAAAATTTTTTCTAATTTGTGTGAAAAGCTGCCATTGATTCAAAAGGTAACTTTAGACTTGCTTTAACAATCGCCTTCGACATCGAAAGTTAAAACTACGTTTATTTCAACAACAAAAATATAACTCGTAAGCTGCAATAACATGTAAAACAAAGCAAATAACAAAGTTAAGTTCATTTTGGATTATCCTTGAGCGTTTCGATAAACTCCTGAACAAGGCATAAAAATTTTCAAAATCATATATTGGCCTTGATTTTTGTCTTATATTTGTGCAAGTGTGCTATGTAATCCTTGGAAATCGCCTCGAAATCAGTCTGGAGTTTTCTGGATAACGGAAAAGCAATAAATTTTAACTTTTTAGAATTACTTGCATTTTTCGCTTTCCTGTCGCAATTCCGTGAAACTAGTAGCATTCTTGAAATTAACTTCTTTGAAACCTCTAGAGATTTATGAAAAGAAAAGAGAATCAACTAAATTACCATTTTGAAAGCGCAAATGTCATTAATCCCTTGTGCAGCTCAGAAAAATTTTTTTCGTGTTTCGATTATAGCTTGTAAATTTACGGATAGTTCACGCCTAAAACGAAAGGTAGTTTGTATATAGTTATCTACGTTAATAGCAAGGTTCAATTTCCGCTTATAAATCACTGAATCAACCGAAAATTGCTTTATCAGCCCAACCTCCTTTTCCAACAATGTGAATGAGTTGTGTCCACGATGGCTCTTATATGCACAAGTTCCACAAATCTAAACGAATAAGATTCATCAAATTTAAACACCAAATTACTTTCGAAATACATTTGATGCAGTGAAACATGTCGTCCGCAATATACTAAAAATTAACGTGAATTATGGCAGTGTTAACTATACCGATCTATCGCACTCAGGAAACGATTTTTTCATTTCCTCCATCTGACGCGTCATTTCGAACAACCCATCCAAGAAATCTAAATAAAAACTAGAAATCAAACAAAGTTTTGGTACCATGAAACTGATTTTTCCGTCCATCACAGTTTGCAAGGATACCCACGTTACAAACTGAGCAAATGATCCTATATGGCCATTTATTGCTCTGATTTTGATCTAAGATTTCATGTTTTCAAATAACACTCCGCACAAATGATGCGGTTGCAATTAAGAGTGAATGATTTCTTTCCATCAATCTCATTAGAATTTATATAAAAAAATAAATCAAAATCAAATGCATCAAACCCACATTCATCGTGATAAATGGGATTTTGAACGACTAGAAAGAAACTCTATTGTAAAAATAATGTTACCTTTAAAAGCAAATATCCACAGCCCATTTGAACCAGGGAATCGTTTTGTGATAAAACATCTAAAGATCACAATTTGAAATCAAGCCACAGTGCTTAAATTTTCAAAGTAGGATAAAAACATACCTATCAAAACGTAAGCAAATTTTTCGTTATTGAGACAATCATTCCCTTGATTACATTGATGTTTCTTTTTATCTTTCTCTATCGACTTCTACTTCTCGAAACATTCGCTGCACATTGCCAATCCATATTGCAAATCCCGTGGAGATCGAGTCTGTTTTGCGACCGAGACAACTAAAAAGGTTATGCAACAATTATTTTAGTTTCTCAAGAGTTGAAATTAACTACAAGTAAATTGCCACAAAATATGCATTTCTCACCATATTTTGCCATAACTCTTACCATTAGCAAAAATATTGCCAAGAGTTTCAAGAAAAAACTAAAAGATCCAACTCGCAGGCACCTAATAAAATTAAAAATTAGCTTTATTAGTAAAATTAACAAAACTTACACGGCTCATTGCAAAGAATGCAATTCAACGATTTGAATACCGTCATTTAAAAAATCCCTATACAAATAGAAACTCGACTCAACTCTTTATCAAAGTAAATAATATCAACCGAAATCGTGATTTGAATTAAACTAACCCAAGTTGAAATGATTTATTGACAATCAATGTGACGATATGCAAAAAATCAACCGAACAAGCTTTAAAATAGCAAGTTAATCAAAGTTATTTATGGTTCTGCTTTTACTCGTTTCCGTCGTGCTGGTGGCTTCGGATCAACAACAGTGTCACTTTCTCCTTTCATCTTCTCAGGTGGAGTGAATTCAGTTTTTATATTTTCCGTTCGGGGCTGTGGTGCCTCATCTCGTTTCCCGATTTGCTTCTGATTCCCCTCTTCTCGCTTCGCCAACAATTCCCCAAATTCACCATCTGGCAAGAAGAAATCGTTTTGGCAGAGCAGCAACTCGGGTGTCGACTCATTGCTTTCGATGGCTTCCATATCGTAGAAAGTTTTCAACTTTGTTCTGATATCTTCGGACGTAGGACGAATCTTGTATTTGGGTTTGAAGATCAGAATCCCATTCAAATTTTCAACTCCACCGTGTTGTCGACGATTCACCAATTCTTGAAGGTCATCGTCAGTTAGTAGATCCTCAAAATCGGTATCCTCGTCTTCATACACATTGTTCATGTAGAGATTGAGCATTGCCATATGATAGTGTTTCATGACGCCGGCTGGTTTGTGTTCAAGTAACTTCTTGAAAAGTCGTTTTTCCGATAGTTCACACCAGCAGTCAGTCTTCGAGTCGCTTTCCTCGTATGTGAGAATGGATGCTCGTTTGAGATCTGGGTGAAAGAATCGCTGTCGGATATTCTCTTCATTTCCTTCTACATCAAGCGCTTGCTCCTCTTCCAATTGAACACCCTCATCCGAACCTTTTATCTCCATCTAAAATTTGATAACATTAAAAAAATCAGGAACATTAAGATTTTGTTTAAAAACAAGACTAATGCCTATCTGCCGCGTTTAATAACAAAAGATTTTCTTTGTTTGCATCTAACAGACATTACCAAAAACTGAATAACAGATAAACTTTATTCAAAAAACAAAATCAACCGGTTTAAAGAAGAAAAGAGAAGCGAAAGAATCACCGGATAATGGAGACGAAACTGTTGACGAAATTTCACGAAGCACAAACAAAAAAATGGCGAAGCATTTGAGCCAGGAATGCAGAAGTTAAAAAACTCGGCTTTGTAAAGATCTCAAATTTCTGTCTTGATTCAAATTTAAGTAAACAAACAATGAAAAATATACATAACCACCACCAAAAATTAAGCGCTGGAAGAATACGAAAGAAATCATGGATGTTGTTGGGCGTGAAGAATTTGCTTTTCGTGTTTGTTCTCAGCCAAAGCCTAAAAAAGATTATCTTTAAAATTTTTGAGAAATACCTAACCTGTTGATATCTCCAAAAATTCGTTCGTACCGGATCGATCTCCTCAAGCTCCTTGCAGAACTAAAAGCATGGAATTTTACTGAGAACTTGACAACCTTTGAGTGTTTTAACGTTCCAACTCTACCTGTTTAGCCCTGGTCACATGTATAAGACCACCATCAAGACCTTCTTCGATTTTCTCCATCTCGATATCCAACAGGAATGAAACGAGATAATGTGCACTAAAAAAATACATTAAGTAGGTATTCGCTAGGATAATAAAGCTCAAACCAATAAATTCAAACAAACCGGTTCTCCGTTTCGCTATATAACTTTTCAGCCCATTCAATGACATCTGGCCGTGAAATAAGCCCACCAGAGATCAAAAGCCTAGAAAAAATTAGGTGTATATCTAAAGAAAACAATTACCCGGCCAAATAGTTCCAAACACTCTCGTTGTGGGTGAGCTTGCCCGCAATCTGTTTGCAGAAACTAAAAAGGATACATAATAGCTTACAAAGCAAACAGACTTGATTTCAATATCAAGTGTCTCCTTGTGATCAATCTTCTCCCACAACTGTAGGATGAAATAACGATAGTTCCAAGCAGAATTGTTATACGAATCCTGAATAAGGATTTGAACGTAAATAATATCGAGTGCTTACCTCGAGAAGCAGCTTTGTTGTATAGTCAATCTCTCGTTGGCCGACCAAATGGAAATGACGCACGACCCATTGACGATGTTGCCACCCGTGATAGTTCTTTGGCTCATCATCGAACACGGCAGCAGTGAAATCCAACTCATCACCTAAAATTAAAAGATTGTTTTCATAAGTCTGTAGCTACAAAGGATACTTGAAAAGCCAACCATACGTTTTCGGCCCATTATAATTTTTAAAGCGCGGTGAAAAAGACTTTACCTGGATTGCCGATCCACTCAACAAGTGTGCGGCGGTGATGCCTAAAGGAACAAATTGAACATGAATTTCATTAAAACTCTTACCAAACTTGATAATTCTTTGGATTTTCCATGATGATATCACCGATGAAACGCAGCTCAGCTTTCAAATCGTGTCCGAGAGCCTTCAATAAGTCGCGGCGATATTGCCTAGAAAGATGCATTGCTTCAAAGACCATTAACGCTTACCAGACAGTGTAGTTGGCAGCATTCAACTGAATACAATCATTGGTGAGTTGAAAACATCGCTCCGAGATTTCCTTCTTTTGTAAAACAGCACGAAGATAGGAGAAAGCATCAACAACTAAACAAATTAAATCATATTAGCATTAACAAGATTACTTGATTTATGCTTTCTTTCGGCAATATTTTCATAATCTGGTAGATCTAATATTAAATAACAAAGAACTCATCGTTTACTTCTTTTGCGTTTACACTTTGAAACAAATGTACGTTACTTTTTAAAAACAGCAATACATAGATTGAATTAGGTTAGCGTCGTCTGAAAAAAACGCAACCAAAGCGATAAACAATTACCGGCAAAATTCAAGTTTATGGGATTTTCTCAAAACAGTATTTTTCTTTGACTAAAAGACTTCCCACACTGAGTTTAACCCAAATAAATAAGGAAAAAAGTCAGAAAAGGCTTTTCGCTGAGTTTCGAGCATTTTTCAAAATCCCACATCCTTCACTATGTAGATGCGAAGTTTAGGGGACTCTCTCAAAACCTAGTGTTATGATGCTCC